TACACACTTTTTCTATGTGTCCATCCTTATGATAATATCTGAAATTTAGTTCATATATTAATTGACAGTTTTGTGTTTCGTGGTTATTCCTTCTACAGTGTAAACAGACATCTGAAAGTCCTAGTTTTTGTAGCCTTTTGTTTTTGTTGTCTTTCTTTTTGCTTGAGTCATATTAGACTTTACCATTGGTTGAGAAATGTTTGTTTTTAGGCCCGATTTTGTTTATGGTTGTTTTACTGATTTTGTAAATATCATTCTGATTATTACTGGCTGTATATAAATTATGGTTGTCAAGTTTTGAAGCCTATAGCCAAGGTGATTTAAGGCTTTTTCAAACGATATTTCACCCGGTTGTAAGAGTTTTTCTCTGATGTCTGAGTCATATAAGCCTCTGATGAATTGAGCCCTGAGCATGAGGTTTGTAACTGATTTTGTGCATTTTCCGTCTTTACACCCAGATTTGAAATCTGCTGAACAAGCCAGATGTTTGAGGACTGTAACATAATTTGTAATTGATTCATTCCTATCTTTTAAACGTGATAAGAATTTATGCTGTTCTGTAAGTATGTTCTTCTTTGGGCTTAGGTGCTCATTTAGTAATATCAGTAACTCTTGGTATGTTTTTGAGTCTGGTTTGTCTGGAGATGTTAGACTGCAGATCAGATTGTAATGATTAGCACCTAAGCAATTGATTAAAAATAAACCTTTCAAGTGTTAAGTCTCTGAATCATTGTCTGTCAATCCTTTTATTTTAAAAAAATATTTCTAAACGCTGAGTATAGCTTTCAAACGTTTCCTTATCTTCATCATAAGCATCAACATTAATGCATTGCTTTGTAATAGTTCCTTGGATTCCTTGGTACTTTTTTCTTTGATCTAGGCTGTTCTGTTTGTTGACTTGTTTGTTGTGTCATTAATGTCATAAAATTGTTTAAGGTAGATATAAGGTCTTGTATTTCAGTCATTTTCTTCCTCGTCGCCAAACTATTAAGTATAAATTCGTACAAAATATATAAACACAACTATTAAATCATGTTTATTTCTTTATAATGAAAAGTAAACATTGAATTATTTAAAATGTGAAATTAATCCAGTGATATAATAAATATTGAAATTAAATGAGAGAGTTTTAGGCCCGGTTTCCCCAACTCATTTAAACTTAGTTTAAGGTTAAATGGTGATTTAAAATTAGTTTAACTTTGATTTGTGTTTCCCCAAATTTAAACTAGGTATTAATCTAAGTTCAAACTAAACCACCTCTCGACTTGGTTTAACTACTGGGGATAAAATAAACTGAGTTCAAATTAGTAAATTACAACAGTAACATAACCTCAAATCAAAACAAAAAGTAGGTGTTAAAACAATAATAATTGAAGCAACTACAAATCCATTTGGACGAAAATAGGCTGGGTTTAGGGCTAGCTTATAAGTTAAGTTTTATTTATATTTTAATTTATTGTGTTTATTAAGTTATTTTTTTTTTGTACATTTGATTTTATTTCAAGTTAGGCTACTTTTAATTTCAGTATTCGCCCCTTAACTCAAATGGAAGAGTTAATAGACATTTTCAAAGAAAAGAAGATGAAGATTATGACACTTTAGTACATAGAACAAGAGGGCCTACTAAAATAAGGGACAGAATTGACCATTTAAATAAATGGAATGAATCTGAATTTGATAACAACTTTATAATAACTTGATAACATAACCTTAAACAGTGATGTTATTCTAGCTGCATTCCCACTTTGCTGTCTGCTCTACTGAGAAACTGAATGAATTGTAGCGTAGCGTTGTGGTGGTTGAAGGAAACACTAGCCCAAAGCAAAGCCCACCGAAGATTCCTAAAGCCCCCCACACACTACCAGACCAGACCTCCAGACCAGACCGTCTGGCTGCAACCAGACCGTCTTGGACGGCTCTACACACTCCCAGACCAGACGGTCTAACATTCGTAATTGAGAGACCGTGGTGAGAACTCCAACAAATGGATGAAGACTGTCACGATGGTCGGCCGTCAGACAGACAGCGCTACACACTAACAGACCAGACAAAAATAGTGGTGGGGGAACCTCGGACCGTCTGTGGTCTGAGGGTTCAACCATCAGACACGCAGACAGTCTGGTCCGAGAAAATCGGTCTGCAGACAGCCCCACATACGTTAAGACAAGTGCCAGACGCCAGACCAGACGGTCTGGTCTGGAGGTCTGGTCTGGTAGTGTGTGGGGGGCTTAAAAATACAAATTCAGGATTGCCAACCGCTCGAATTGCCGTTTATCTTAAACGAAGCCAGTAAATGTTGGAGAAACCGAACTCACATTTTAAACGGAGCTTAAAAATAAACTAGTTTATTATAAACGTAGTTTACACCATTTTGGGGAAACCGGGCCATAAATATATAAAATCCCCCTTGACTTTGTTGGCTTCTAGGGATAGGTCATACACAGGTGAGCTCAGTGACATGGTTGTGCTACTCATAGTAGCCCAGTTGTAACAGGTGGCTTGGCTGGTGTTGGGGGGTCAGGTGTAGAGGGAGGTAGTCCAGCCGCTCACAGACACAATGACATGGTTGTGCTACTCATAGTAGCCCAGTTGTAACAGGTGGCTTGGGTGGTGTTGGGGGGTCAGGTGTAGAGGGAGGTAGTCCAGCCGCTCACAGACACAACGTGGTGTGTAGATCTAGGGATAGGTCACACACAGGTGAGCTCAGTGACATGGTTGTGCTACTCATAGTAGCCCAGTTGTAACAGGTGGCTTGGCTGGTGTTGGGGGGTCAGGTGTAGAGGGAGGTAGTCCAGCCGCTCACAGACACAATGACATGGTTGTGCTACTCATAGTAGCCCAGTTGTAACAGGTGGCTTGGGTGGTGTTGGGGGGTCGGGTGTAGAGGGAGGTAGTCCAGCCGCTCACAGACACAACGTGGTGTGTAGATCTAGGGATAGGTCACACACAGGTGAGCTCAGTGACATGGTTGTGCTACTCATAGTAGCCCAGTTGTAACAGGTGGCTTGGGTGGTGTTGGGGGGTCAGGTGTAGAGGGAGGTAGTCCAGCCGCTCACAGACACAATGACATGGTTGTGTTACTCATAGAAGCCCAGTTGTAACAGGTGGCTTGGGTGGTGTTGGGGGGTCAGGTGTAGAGGGAGGTAGTCCAGCCGCTCACAGACACAACGTGGTGTGTAGATCTAGGGATAGGTCACACACAGGTGAGCTCAGTGACATGGTTGTGCTACTCATAGTAGCCCAGTTGTAACAGGTGGCTTGGGTGGTGTTGGGGGGTCAGGTGTAGAGGGAGGTAGTCCAGCCGCTCACAAACACAACGTGGTGTGTAGATCTAGGGATAGGTCATACACAGGTGAGCTCAGTGACATGGTTGTGCTACTCATAGTAGCCCAGTTGTAACAGGTGGCTTGGGTGGTGTTGGGGGGTCAGGTGTAGAGGGAGGTAGTCCAGCCGCTCACAAACACAACGTGGTGTGTAGATCTAGGGATAGGTCACACACAGGTGAGCTCAGTGACATGGTTGTGCTACTCATAGTAGCCCAGTTGTAACAGGTGGCTTGGGTGGTGTTGGGGGGTCAGGTGTAGAGGGAGGTAGTCCAGCCGCTCACAAACACAACGTGGTGTGTAGATCTAGGGATAGGTCATACACAGGTGAGCTCAGTGACATGGTTGTGCTACTCATAGTAGCCCAGTTGTAACAGGTGGCTTGGGTGGTGTTGGGGGGTCAGGTGTAGAGGGAGGTAGTCCAGCCGCTCACAAACACAACGTGGTGTGTAGATCTAGGGATAGGTCACACACAGGTGAGCTCAGTGACATGGTTGTGCTACTCATAGTAGCCCAGTTGTAACAGGTGGCTTGGGTGGTGTTGGGGGGTCAGGTGTAGAGGGAGGTAGTCCAGCCGCTCACAAACACAACGTGGTGTGTAGATCTAGGGATAGGTCATACACAGGTGAGCTCAGTGACATGGTTGTGCTACTCATAGTAGCCCAGTTGTAACAGGTGGCTTGGGTGGTGTTGGGGGGTCAGGTGTAGAGGGAGGTAGTCCAGCCGCTCACAAACACAACGTGGTGTGTAGATCTAGGGATAGGTCACACACAGGTGAGCTCAGTGACATGGTTGTGCTACTCATAGTAGCCCAGTTGTAACAGGTGGCTTGGGTGGTGTTGGGGGGTCAGGTGTAGAGGGAGGTAGTCCAGCCGCTCACAAACACAACGTGGTGTGTAGATCTAGGGATAGGTCATACACAGGTGAGCTCAGTGACATGGTTGTGCTACTCATAGTAGCCCAGTTGTAACAGGTGGCTTGGGTGGTGTTGGGGGGTCAGGTGTAGAGGGAGGTAGTCCAGCCGCTCACAAACACAACGTGGTGTGTAGATCTAGGGATAGGTCACACACAGGTGAGCTCAGTGACATGGTTGTGCTACTCATAGTAGCCCAGTTGTAACAGGTGGCTTGGGTGGTGTTGGGGGGTCAGGTGTAGAGGGAGGTAGTCCAGCCGCTCACAAACACAACGTGGTGTGTAGATCTAGGGATAGGTCATACACAGGTGAGCTCAGTGACATGGTTGTGCTACTCATAGTAGCCCAGTTGTAACAGGTGGCTTGGGTGGTGTTGGGGGGTCAGGTGTAGAGGGAGGTAGTCCAGCCGCTCACAGACACAACGTGGTGTGTAGATCTAGGGATAGGTCACACACAGGTGAGCTCAGTGACATGGTTGTGCTACTCATAGTAGCCCAGTTGTAACAGGTGGCTTGGCTGGTGTTGGGGGGTCAGGTGTAGAGGGAGGTAGTCCAGCCGCTCACAGACACAATGACATGGTTGTGCTACTCATAGTAGCCCAGTTGTAACAGGTGGCTTGGGTGGTGTTGGGGGGTCAGGTGTAGAGGGAGGTAGTCCAGCCGCTCACAGACACAACATGGTGTGTAGATCTAGGGATAGGTCATACACAGGTGAGCTCAGTGACATGGTTGTGTTACTCATAGTAGCCCAGTTGTAACAGGTGGCTTGGGTGGTGTTGGGGGGTCGGGTGTAGAGGGAGGTAGTCCAGCCGCTCACAGACACAACGTGGTGTGTAGATCTAGGGATAGGTCATACACAGGTGAGCTTAGTGGCTTTTTTATATTTAGATTACAAATGGTTTTATAATGATTGTTATTGTTACTCATCTTTGCTGATGTTTCCTTGTCATATTGTTTAATCTGGTTTAAACCTTTGCTTTCATTACCTGCAAATCATGGGTAATACAAATTGAACAGTGTCATATCATCAGGGTTGATGTTGATCACTACCTAGACATTACATTAACAAAAATGTCTAAATTAATATTTATGCTCACAATGTTAAAGAAGCTGTAATTAAATCATGTTGGTTATCGTTTGATGGCTAATATTTTGACACTGTGATAACGATCGTTTTTAAGATTGAGTACTAAATTCACAGCTTGGTAAAGATTACAAACTGCAAAAATATACATAGAATTGTGTATAATGATTATCTGATTTGCTTTTACAATTGTCATTAATGTTTAAACTTAGTTTTTAATATCGATTTAAATATTAGGAAAAATTTGTTAGTTAATTACTGTATTTTAAGTTTATTTTATAAGTTTATTTTTTAACAGGTTTATTTTATAAGTTAACCTCCTGAAACATCCGTTTTCATCAAATTAATTCATAATGCGAGATAAGCACCAGTTGAATTAGTCGTCACACAGGACTACAGTAGTTACATTAAACGCATACTTTGTAAAATCGGTTTTATTGTTTTCTTCAGATAGAGCAGCCCTAAAAATATGCTGTGATTTTTATTCAGATGCCAAGCTAAAAAGCATTATTATTTTAAGTGTTACATTCCCAAAATAATAGCATTAACTTATCAGTAATCTAATCAGTCCTCAAATCCACCATAACCTAAAATTTTGTGTTTCAAATTTTCAATAATTCATTGCCTGTTTTATTTTATGTCTAGCAACCTATAGATACAACGGAACCTAGATAAATATTGGTCATGAAGTCCATACACCACTTCTTAGTACTGTAATAAATTAATTAGTGGTACAGATTAGGCTTATAACTATAGAAACACACACATAACATAAGGTTCCCACTTTTACCACAAATTCAAATCGTGAACAACAACGTAAACAAAAAAATCAATTAAATAACGATACAACAATCAGGTGTCAAATTATAAACATGTTTCATATGATCCGATGATGCATAACGGCACCCCATCTACTTATTGAGTCTTAAGTTTACATTTAAGTCGCAATTTGGAAACCTCCACTGTTCGAATTGATAGTATTTTACAGATTCTATTGACGTAGCTAAATAAGGTGATAACAAATAACATCACCATGACCAATACAACACGCACTTGTATTGATAATTGATTGTTGTGTTGGCAACGTCTTGGGGTAGGCCTATATTATTGCCCAAGAAGGATAAAGTATGTTTTGCGTTTTCGTTTTTCAAGAATATAAAGTAGGCCTACCTAATTCGCATAAGAGTGTCATATTGAGGAAAATTTCAGAATGTATTCACAAAAACTACCTGAAACGTAGAAAATGAAGACGAGAAATAATCGCCCGAAACGCACGAACAACTATTTCCTGATAATGTTTTGAGATAGTTGAATGTAGAACACTTGCTTGAAAACAATACTTTTCATAATTATGTTGAATGTACAAAATTTAAGAAAACGGACCTCCTAAGGTATGGTGACAACTATTTGTACTTTTTTCTCAAAGCAGGAAGTCTTTAAGTTTCATCAGCTAATCGTATGGATCCATGCAGGATTATTTCTGCATGGATTGCAAAATCTGACCAAGATTGAATAAATGTGGATTGGTTTAGATTCAAGATCGGGTTCAGTGGGTTCACCAGATTACATTAGCAAGCAAACACAGGAAAATATACCGATACAAAGGATATGTATGTAATGTCCACATCTATACTTATGAAAGTTGTTATAGATTTTGATAGTTCTGAGCGAAACTGACAAGTTAAATATTGATGAAATAGTTGTATTTTGTATTATATCTATAGTTAATTTTGATTTATTGCTTTATTAAAAAAAAAACATTAAACGTGACGCTGAGTGGAGTAGGTAACTGGCTTTTCCTACTATGAAAGTAATCCAAGTTTTAAAAATTCAGTAGGCCTATTAAAAATCTCTGTACAACTAAATCTACAGTTCTACTGGACCGATTTTATTGATTAATGGTTCGTTGGAAAGCTTAATTTGTGTAGATAGAGACCAAAAACACCATCCGTTCAAACTCATATATATATCTTTATATATATATATATATGTGTGTGTGTCCGTTAGCGCGATACGAGCAAAAATCAACCGATTTTGATGAAATTTGGTACAAACGTGTAAACCTACGTTTATCCGAACGAGTTCACAAACCAGCATAATCGGACAATGGGAACGTTTATAGGGAGGTTTTACGGGGGTAAAAATGGGTTTTTTTACCCTAAAAACAAAAAAATTTGCAATTTCTTTTTATACCGTTTTGTAGCGCCTAAAAAATAAATAATTTTGTATATTGAAGCGCTGTTGTATGCCTAACGGTCACGGAGAAAATTCAAAAATAGTGTAATTTAAAATTCTTATGTTATTCTTATGGATAAAATTTAAACTGTTGTAGTTTACTTGTTTATGGATATATGTTGATAAAATTTGGCAAATCTATTTATTTCATCCTATACTATTGACGTATGGTCAAAAAATACTTTTTACCTTCCACGTAGCAGCAAACCCAAGCATTTGTTAAATCTAATGTCATTTAAATTGGGAATAAATTATGTCTTATTTATGGAAATATTTTAGTAATAATGTAATCAGACAAGTTGAAATTCGCTTAGTCTGCAGGTTTGCTGCGGCGGGGGTATTCTTATGTTACATGTTGTTGTTCACAATCTGCATTTGTGGTTAAAGTGTGTTCCTTATATTTTGTGCGTTTCTAAAGTAATGCGCTCAATCTGTACCAATATTTGTTAGTGAGCAAACTGGTGCATGGATTTCATAACCATTACCTAGAGACCGCTGTATTTAACCACAGCGGCAAAATCAATAGAAGCTTCAAGGTCAGTTATAGTGCAATTCTACTTTATAACATATGGTTTTAAAGGTTGAGCTGGAAGCTTCTATTGATTTTAATCCTAGTATAGTTGCTGCAATAAATCTAAAAATACCCCAACCGCAGCAAACCTGCAGACTAAGCGTATTTCCATTTGCCTGATTTGATTTTCAATTAAATATATTCAAATAACATTAGGCTTAGTACCTAGGTTTAGTACAGCGAGGGTAATGAAGTGTTTTTTTTTTGTAAAATATTAATGTAGAACAGGAAAATGATGTATCCACTCAAATACATGTTGGTAAAAGTAATTAACAAATCGCTGTATTAAGTTTAAAAACATGTTTTTTTTTTACTTAAAATAATTTTTGGTATGCTAATTTTTTGACTTGGAACTCTTATATGCATCATCACACTTCATTTACTTTGTACTTACACAACAAAATGTTCGTCACACTGACTTATAATCACCCTGTATATGTGTTCATATTTACTATCGGCGTCTACGGTAACTCGAGCAAAAATGATCCGGATGTGATGAAATAAATGTTGTACAAACGTGTGAACCTACGTTCATTCGAACGAGTTCGCGAACCAGCATGATCGGACTATGAGTTCGGGGTTTTATGGGGTAAAAATTGGGGTTTCCCATTTTTTACCCTAACCTAAAAACGTAAAATCTAGTAATTCTCACAAAATAGTAAAAAAAAAGAAATAACTTAATATATTGGAGCGTCGTTGTATGTCTTATGAGAGGAAATTCAAAAGAAACGTGTAAAATAATAATTCTCATGTTATTCTTATGGAGAATAAATAAACTGTTGTAGTTAGCTTGTTTATGGATATATTTTAATACAATTTTATAATTTTGTTTATTTTATACAACAGTTCTTTATAACTATCAACATTCTAATAAATAAACACACCTCATTACCTTCCCTGTAGCATCAACCCTAGTACTCATTGAAACTAATGTTATTTAAATAGGAAATAAATCAAGGAAATATTTTAGTGAAAATCTAGCCAGATAAATGAAAATTCGCCAAGTCTACAGGTTTGCTGCGGCGGGGATATTTTCAATTTGTCACCTAATTTTTCGCTAACTTTTTATTTGTTTTGCATTCAACTTTTACAAATCATACGAGGGCCTTGAGCCATCATACGAGGGACTCTTTCGATAACATTAGTTGTATGTATATTGAAAGGCTTTTTATACTCTCATTACAACGTTTATGAGCAAAATTTCGGAAATATACTTTTTTTAGTTTTCATCTGTATTAGAAAAACATCTGTTACTGACAAGGGAGATAACTGACTGATGGACAAGCAAACTTAAATCTTTGCATGTTATACCAGTAGGGTTGTTATTGGATTTTGTGATAGTCTACAGTATTAGCAGTGTGCCATTGTGATTCGGGTACGCGAGAGGTAGTGAGTGGTGCGACCCAGTTTGTGAGTTGTACGTGCTCGAGTGGACGACATCCTCTAATGATCTTCTCCTAGTCTAGTCGCATTGGTAATCTGTTAGCGCAAGTGTCCTGAAAATAATTCGAATTCAATCATTTAAAAAGTATTACAGTACAGGTTATAAAGGAATTTTCATTATGTGTATTTTTATGTCAAACTGATTTAAAAACAAAAACAATTTAATATCTAGGCTACTAGTGTACCTGCTGCTTGAATTAGAGCAATTCCAAAGTATTATCATCACACTCTTGGGTACAGATAATATAGGCTACAATGTTTTTAGATAGATAGCCTCCAGAGCAAATTCAACCTGTGATATTTGTCGGTTTTCGACATTTGCTGCTACGCCAACATTTTTAAACTTCACAGGTAGTTTAGGAGAAAATCCCTAGACACTTTTCAAAATCATCACACTCTTGTGCACAGATAATATAGGCTAAAATAATGCTTAAAGATAAGCTTTGCCATATGCCGTTTTGCGACATTTGTCGACTGGCGACACGCTGCAACACCAACACTATAAATCTTTGCTGGTAAGTAGTTTA